ACTCTTTCTTCCTTTAAGCTTAATAAAAAACCCTGCAGAGAGAGCAGATTTGAAGCAACTCATGGTAAGTCATTTATTTCAGATTCTTACACTGCCACCTGCTTACTCATTTGTTCTCTGTCAGTCATCTATCCAGTACTTCCAGAGCCCATACCCTGCTCTGCCTTGACCACTGTAGTCCAGCTGATCAGGGGCCTGCAGGATACCCAACATATCTCCCCTGTCCTCCTATCAGTTTAATGGAAAAGCCGGGATGACCCTGCAGCCAGAGGGAGTCCAGGGATAAGGGCCAGCCCGCCCCTGCAAGGGGACAGGGCCTTTTTGTAGTACTATCTTAGATTCAGTCCCCTCACCAAGTAACTTTGTCTCCTACATGGTGGTGGTGGTGGTAGGAGGAGGAGTGGGATACTGAATGTCTGAACTCACATGCCATGTAGAGCCTGGTCAGCATAACATGCGCTTTCATCAGTTCCTTTGCTCCTTTAACAACACTGCGAGGCACTGCAGGCAGAGCTGCTGTCTCCATTTCAGAGAGAGCGGGCTTGGGGAAGGGGTAAGACCAGCAGAGCCAGGGGGTTAGGCCTGCAACTGGCCAAGGGCAGGCTCCCAGAGCACCTTCCAAATGTAGCACAACCTCCAGACCCAGGACTCTTGAATTTTCCTCCTTGGTTTTTAAATACACTTTCTGTCCATCTCCTCACACACAGGTTCATGCTTTTATCAAGAGATCTGATGCTGAGGAAGTGGATTTTGCAGGTTGGCTCTGCTCCACCATCGGCCTTAACCAGCCCAGCACACCCACCCACGTGGCTGGCATCTAAGCATTGGGGAAGAGCCGAGTCCCCTGCCCAGCAGCATGCCATGTTGCTTCTGGGCCTCCTTCCCATGCCTGTCTCTGTTCAGATGTGCATTTTACCTATGACAAAGGATGAAGAACACAGCATGTGCCAAAATTCTACTCGTGTCATTTTCAATATTTTCATCTTTATTCTTATTACTATCGTTATTCCCCTAAGTGGACTGGCTTTGTGCTTGGGGCTATTTTTGTGTATGCTGATGATCAAAACGTGCAATGTTGAACTACAGTGAAACTCTGGTGACTGTGGGTAGTCATTCTTACTGAAAACTGCACTGCTCTCCCACACCGTGACTGGCTGGCTGCCTGTATTTCCGGGATTCTTTGACACTTGGTGGTACTTCATTCTTGCCAGGCTTACCTTCTTTCCAATTGAGTAGGAAGGGGCCTTGTAAGATCCTTCACAGGCAGTGCATGTGAAGCATGCTTTGCTGCTATGAAAATGAGCATCAGAAAGAGTATATCATGTTATTTCATTATGTTTTTGCTTTTGGTGTAGAATTCAGCAGTTTCCATCAAAATCTAGCCAGAGCCCTTCACTGCCATGATAGCTGGGGCTTCACCAGTCTGTCTACTGTGATGATCTGTAGACTTCTGGTTGTATTTCTGTATTTATTTTTAAATATACCCTGTGGGATATTTAGTGCTATGTCTCTAAGTTTGGATTAGTGTTTCTAAAATGGTGGAAGTTACTCTGAATGTTACAAATGGATCAAGGCATTAACATGTATGAGATTTCTTTCCCCAAATCCAAGTACTGATGCTATTATAAACAACAGTGTGTATAGTGCCTAAAAACTGTATGGAAATCCTTTTACCATTTTAATCCAGACGTTTAACAAATCTAATCTCTTATTCTAATAAATATACTATCAATTCAAAGGGTGAAAGATATTTCTGCTTTTGTGGAGGGATTTTCAATGTCTGTAGTGCATAAGAAATCAAGAGATTTAGCAGCCACACATTGCTGAGAAGGAAAAGGCAAAGACAGGAAGGAGGCTGGAAGGCGGAAATACCACACTGAGGACAAGTTCAGTGCTTTGGACTAATGCGGCTTCCTGTAATTCTAATCTTTGGACTTTGTCCAGTTCTTCTCAGCAAGCACCCTTATCTTTCAACCACTTTTCCTGTGGACCTGTGAAAAGATGCCACTGATTCCTTCCGTCTTTTTATACAAGGGAAAAACAGTAGGTGGGGGTAGGATTGGGGGGGCGGCCGGTGCCTGACTGGCACTGGAGCCTCCACCCGGGACTGTGCCGTGCTGCTATGCTCCGTTGAGCAATGGCTTCCCTTCTCTCTCCAGTTACACCTGAGACACTTTCCTGGAGAGGAAACAAGTACCTGGCACTGGGTTTGTCGTGACTGCGGGGCAGCAGTGAAGCCACAGAAAATGAAGCTGTGTCCCAACTGGCTACCCTTCTTTCTTTGAACAGTAACTTTTGACATTTAGGTTATATGTGAGGCTGCCTTCCCTCATTTTCTTCGAGAGCAGGTGACAGAAAACCAAAATAAATATATATTTAACAATAAAAGGCCTATTTTGTTTTCAAATTTAAAAACAGAACTTTAGGTAAATCTCCTGAGTAGGTAGTTCCACTCTAGATCTAACAGACACTGAGGATTTTAAAAACTGGTCAGTGCTATATATACACAGCTGCCTCAGCCAGTCATTTATTTTTTCTCACTGCGAGGCTAACACCCGTTCTAGGTCAACAGCCTAACTTACATGTTTTCAATACACAAACATTCAGATGAGGTTTAAGACCCACACCCTACTCACACCCAGGGTCTTTTCCTAACAGGATGTCACCACCACTGAGTGTCTCAAAGTGTGCCCAACTAATGAATGGGGTAACCTGGTGTCTAAAACCTGGATCTGAATACTTCCAAGGTCAATTTCTTTTGAGGGGTGTTTTAAATCCTCTATTCACATCCAAAGGTATTTCATTTTGAGAGTCAAAGAGTTCTTCCTAGTACTTTTCACCAAGGATGATCTAATTCTCAAGAATGATGTTCCCTACATCACTTTTGTTGTTTTTTTTGAGTTCCTCAGGCCAAATTCCTTACTCAAACTTCCTTACTGAGATGCCAATAATAGTTGGATTTTTTTTCCCAGCTGCCGCAAGGCTCGCAGGATCTTAGTTCCCCCACCAGGGATTGAACCCAGGCCCTCGGCAGTGAAAGCGCGGAGTCCTAACCACTGGACAACCAGGGAATTGCCAATAGTTGGATTTTTAAAGGATGCCTTGTGAGTGTCTCACAAGGACCTGTACAACTGCTAGAGCAGATATGAGTACTCTCATTTTATAGATGGGAAAGTGAGCTGCAAAGGTGAAAAGCAAGCAACCAGTTGGTGGTCAAGCTAGAATTCATACCCAACTTTTCTAGCTCTTAAAAACCCATGCTCATGTTTTAAGTTAGACCCCAAAATGTGTTCCTTGATGCTTTTTGTTGCAAAATAATTTTCACACTGTGTTTTCCAAGAAACATGCTCATTTAAACTTCTGGCTACTTCCTGTAAGAGTAGCTCAAAATAACTTTAATGAAATATTAACAAATATGTCTGTGCTCTCTTCTGGAACAGTTTTGTAAGGAGCTGTGCTTGAGGAGGTTGTTTGGGTTTTGTTTGGCTTTTCTGGGCAGGGCCAATTACTTTCATAAAATTAAGCAACTACTTGTCTGTATATTCAGTGGAAAAGGGACAGTACGCAGAAATGAGTCTCAACTTCAAATACGAAGTTTAACAACTCTTACTCTGTAACTATCATCTCTTTATTACAAAATCCAACCTCCCAAGCCTAGTGATCCTTCAATGGCACATTTCCTAAGTCCAGAAATGGGTTTTCCACCATCCTACTATATTGTTCGCCCCAGAGGAACTGACCCTTTTCTGTTTCTGTCTGGAAAGCAGCAAGCTGCATGATGACTATTTATCTTCATTTCTAAGACATTTTACCATAGTGATGTCTCAACCTAGATGTGATAACAGCCATACAAAGCATGTCAGTAGGCAGTTTTATGGTGTCACTGAGAGGTGGCAACAGCTTGTGCTCTCAGGTGGCCCTCTGTCCTCCTCTTTGTCATCTTTCTCTCCCACACTGTGGCCTTGCTCTGCTCACAAGGGTTCAATGGCATGCAAACAGTGTTTATAATTGGTTTTCTTAAAAGAGGCATTGTTGATTGGAAAGGCTGGCTTGTATTTAAACTCTGCCCTTTTTGCAAATGCCAGACCTTCTCAATAGCATTTCAGAGGAAGTTTTTGGTTTTGAACACAATTTCTGAATCTGACCAGAATATAAACACAGCACCACCCATATTGCTCAATACTGAAACTTGTATCTCTGCTTTTCTGTATGTCACTAATTTTGGTTAAAGCACTCTGAAACTTGAGTTATTGATGGAACCATTTCTACAACTACACATCCTCCTAAAGTTCTTGCTTCCTTTTAAAGGAGGCCACAGGGCCCATGGCAAGAATTCTTTGAAGAGAGAAAGTTCCTGCGGCTTAAAACTTAACTCCTGTGACTAACCCTGGCTCTTCTCCCCTTCAGGAATCTGATTCTTCCTCCTCCTCCTCCTCCTCTTCTGGCACATGGCTCCTTGTGCTCAACTCCAGTGCGGTCTGGTTGATTGATGCTTCATTGTCTACATGCACCAACATCTGCTTTAGTCAAGGACACATTATGGATTAGTAAGAACACTGGCCTCAAAACAAATTAATGTTTTCAAATAAAATCTCAATTGCATGTTCATCTGCAATATTTATCACTAAGAACTGTAGCCAGTTTCCTATTTCTCCAAATTCTACCCTGACCCCCCAACCCCCATTGCCAAAATGGGAGCAGAGTAAATGCCCTAGATTTGATAGAATATTACCTGATATACAAACATGGTTTTTACATAAGAATTATGCTGGCTTAGATGTGCTGCTTTCCAATAGTTTTACATGCTTACCACGCATCTGGGAGAACTGTTCAAATATGGTATATTTAAAAGAAGATTTTCCTGAGGGCATTTGGTGAGAGAATGATATGATGAGGGCAAGAACTCATTTTTTAGCACTAGGCTTTGTAGCTGAAGCTACACTCTATTTTTAAATCCCAAGCTTGCTTATTCACAGAACAGCAAGAGTTTTGACATCTTCCTGCAAAGATCTTCACACTCTCCCCGGTTCACTGGAGTGACTAGAGAAAGTGGATGAATAGGAAGGTCGAAGCAATATAAAAGTACAGTCAACCACAGTGTAGCTAGCTGGTAGATGTTCCCTGTTTAAAACAGTAATACAGACAATCCAGTTTATTAAACTGGAAAGTTCTTAACAGCACTTCCCAGAGTCCTTTGGGCTTGATAATGTAATTTACAATTTTTGATGGCTAAGCAGCGTAAGAGCAGAAGGGACTCCCCAGGCCCACACTTGATTAAGCTTACATCATGTGACTGTTCAGGCGCAGGATGAGAAGACAGCACCTCATCTTCTCTCCCAGAACTAATCATTGACTGGAGAGCCAGTTCTTCAACCTGGAAAAGAAGAGTCAAGGACACTTTCCTTACTATGTCATTGGGCTACTGATGTAGGTGAGATGTACTGAGCACGCTGTAAGCGGTGGGCATCATGAGAGGAAGTGAAAACAGAGCTTACAGCTCTGTGAAGCTCCAAAGTGAAGGGTGGGCTCCTCGAGCTTTCCCCACCTCTTAAGGAAACAGCACAGAAAGCTTCCAGCCCCTTTCTCCTAGGGTGAACAGGTGTTCCAGCTGAGCCGAGGCTTCCACTCCCCCAGACCTAGCAGCCCAGGGGAAAAAACACAAGCATGCGCTAAAAAAAGCCAGGTGTCTTCTGATTCCACACACCCGAAGCTTGTCTACCCCGTAATGAGAAATCGAAGGCAGGAAGACTAGAAAATGGGAGTGTTCCCCGGAGCACAAAGGAATCTAGGCTCTGCCCGCGGCCATCGTCAGCACGCTCACGTTAGGCACTGGTACAGGCACTGTTAGGCACTGGTACAGGCACTGCGGTGATATCAGAACATAAATAAGTGCAGGCCATTACATGTACCCTAAGGGAAAGCGCACTGTTTTCATACGTCGCAGGTGGACAATACTTCTCAGTTTACAAAGAGCCTTCATAACCCTCATCTCACTTGGATTTAGAGAACCTGGAAGTGCCGAACAGGAATTAGCAGGAGCGTCTCACTGAGGCTGAAGGGGGTGACTTCCGCAGAGGCCTGGGAACTGGCGCTGATGGGTGTCAATCTCAACTCCTCGTCGAGGCCGTGGAGTCGGTAACAGCTCCGGGGATAAGAGCTACCGGGAACTATTTTGTGGCAGGTCTCTTCTCCCAGGGCCTCACCGTCTCCCTTCGCAGAGTGGGCGCATCCGCCAGCCGGTCGGCTTTGCGAGACTAGAGCTGTATCGAGCGACCATACTAGGTAGTAAAGAGAATAGGGGCTCGGGAGGGGAGGCCGATGGGGGGCAGGGGCAGCCTATGCGAGCCTGCGGGAGGTCTCCCTTCCTCAGCGCGTGGTGCGGCCGCCTGCGTTTCCGGGGCTGCAGGGGTCCGGGGTGGGGGTGGGGGGAGGGTGTACTAGCCAAACTGATGGCTGAGTCTCAGCCCAGACCTGCGGGATCAAGATTCTTAGAGGGGTGGACCCACAATCTCAAACCCAGCCCCCCAGGCGCCGGTAAGCCACCAGGTCCAGCCGCGAAGGCCGGGTAAGGGCTAACCGGCGGCAGCAGGCGGGCGCCGCAGACGCCTGGGCTCCGCGGAGAGCCGGACGGCCCGGGGCGCCAAGGTGACGGAAGGGAGGAGCCGAGTGGGGGGCGCAGGGTCACCTTGAGCCGGTTCAGCTGGTCGTGCAGGGCCGCTTTCAACCGGAGCAGCGTCTCCTCCTCCTTGCGCAGCTCCTGAAGCCGGCTCAACATCGCGCGTCTTCGCGCCGGCGGCCGGCCGGGCGCTCGCAGATGACGCCACCTCCGCGCCGCGCTACC